CTTTCACTCACTTGTACTTAGTCATTTTAGCGAACACCTCAGATACTGTTGGCTGGTTCCTGTTGGTTGTGCATCTTTTTTACCGACGCCATTGACATAACGACACAGATCACTGCCTATTTACGAGTCCCGCAGAAAAAGTGATTGACAGGTGGTAATTATGTGTGTATCTTGCCTTTATTCATTTACTGTATGATTTGTTTATGGGTAAAACAAAGACCATGCAGGTCAGGTAGATTAAACGGTTGGCTACAAATAATTAATTGGTCATTAATTAATTAATTATTTATTATCGAAAATCGAATCTAATCGTGCCTTTAGAATCGAAAATGTAATCTAATCGAGGATTTGGAGGATCGTGACACGCTTATTAATAATTTAAATGAATCATTTGAATCATGAGTCATTGAAGCATAATATTTATAGACATGTTCATAATAAAAATCAAACTTTGAAATGACAGTGCATTAGTAAGTTATTCCAAAATAACAGAAGTCTTTTCACCATTTGCACAGCATCATCGCTGTTGGAAGGAAACATTATGGGCTCTATTTAAACGATCTAGGTGCAAAGTATAAAGCACATGGCGCAAAAGCATTAAGGGCATGTCAGAATCCACTTTTGCTATTCCAAGGATGGAAATAAACACTCTGCACGATGACGCATTGTCTAACAGGGTTGTGCTTATTCTTTTAATGAGTTATGGGTGTGTTTTGAGCATAACGTGCATTAAACCAATCAGAGTGACAGTCTCATCTCTCCCCCTTTAAGAGTGAGTTGCGTTGCGTTTGCTATTTACATGGCGGATTTTGTAAGTGAAAAACTGAATGCTTTACTAGCAAGTAAACAGTTACACAGACCAACTGCAGCTCTAGGATAGAGAACGAGCCTCTTACATTTGGCCTCTTTACTTTCTCATTACTTTTACTCTTTACTCCTTCACTACCATGGTAAAGGAAATGTTGTACGCACTCCACTGAAGACATTCATTAGCCTACATATTTAATTTAGTTTGTTAAGCGCAAAGATTTGTTTTAAAACTATTTCTAAATTCAGTTCTAATTTTCGGCAAGCGAATAGATTAACAATAATAACTGTGGTCAAAAAACTTTCACTTACAAAGTCCGCCATGTATAGCAAATGCGTCATGACATGTGCAGGTGCTGTAGTGGTGTCGCATTTTTTGGAGTACATTTTTAAACCCTTTCCCTTCGCATTCTGTTGGGAAAGGGGCAGGGATAAAAAATAGATTTGGGATTGGGCCTTAGTCTTGTAATTCAGTTATAATGGTGGATGACATACAGCTGTTGTTTTGGATGCACTTCATTTGGGCAGCATTGTTCAAGATTAATATCAGTTCTTGTACATACATGCTACAGATTGCTTTTTTAAAGGACACGGAATGTTTACTTAGAGCTTTTGTTTTGTCACGCCTCTATTCTCACTCGCTTCTAGCTTGCTTTAAATTCACTGTTGGTCCTGTCAAAAAGCATGGTGCTTTTTCTTGATATTGTTTTAAGGTTTCAAAGACCTGTAAAGTAAATAAACGGCAGGCAGAAGGATGCTCAAAGCATCTTATGTCTTATTCCATGCTCAGGGCCAGGACGAAAGCGTTTTTTAGTCAATTTATTGTGAATGGCCAACTTTTGGGAAATGATTGATAATGTTGTGGACATGGAGCAATTTTTAGACAAAAACGCTGTTCTCAATTTTATCTGATTGGTGCAGGCATGGCAAATTATTATTATTTGTTTTGGATTTTATTTGAGTTTGAGAATTGTTTTGTAAGATTCAATGAAGGAAACTTTTATGATGTTTATAAAATGTTTAAACATAGGGGGAATAAAGAGGTCCTTCTATAGTAATAGTTTAGCTGTAGAATTGTCACTTTCAAAGTCAATAGCTTTCTATTGGTCAGTGTGATAGATTAGCATGACCAACATCAGGGTAAACCTTTTTGAGGTGTCGGAGCCAGCTCCAGATGTGCTGGTCAGCTCCAAAAGGGTGAGACTTAAACTATACAAACTTTTTAGAGTTTTCCCTTTAATTAAATGTCTTTTACTGAGTCCAACTTATTGTTATGTACTAAATTTCTACACCTACCCCAACTCTAATCTCAACCACACAGTAACCTATTGTGTTTTATTAACGTCTAATACACCAACCCTTAACCTAGGCTACTTGTGGTGTAATTCCTCCAACCTGGAGGTCTCCAGGCTGCAGTAATACCTACTTTTTGCCTATTCAACATCCCTAAGGTCCAATTGAACCATTTCTGAGACTTTTATTTCTGTATGTTGATGTATTTCCAATTGAAATAGAATATTGAGTAGGGGGCAGGCTTTTTTCTCATCATTCTCTCATAGCAAAATAACTATAAGTGGGGCGTGGTTAATAATATTGCAGCTGAAGTCGTCTAACTGGCGGCAACAAAGAAGGGCCACCACTACAAGCATGGAAGCAAATAGTTTTTAACAGAACAAACTTTTTTTTTTCAGTGGATTAACTTGCAAGGATTAATTGTTTACCAAATGAATAACAATGTGCGCTAGCAAAAAAAACATTGTAAATATTGATTTCACATGAACTTTACATGTCCATATTAGAGTGTGGGGCGAGCAGAACTTGAGGGGGTTCATTCGATGAAAATTAGGTTTTGTATGTGTAACAGGACAACTAGTGTTGAGCTGTGTGAGTAAATTTCACAATCCTGGCCTCAAGGGGCACACTGACTAGCAGCTTTCTCTGGATGCCATGCTCTTTAGGGATCTTGTTAGTGCACATGCTTCCCATGCCAGAAACACTGGCTTGATTTTTTTTTCCTCAGAGTAGGATGAATACAACAATGTCATTTTAGTCTTCAACTGCATGACAGTGAATAGACAACAGAATTGCATGTTTTTGGTGACTGTTAGGGCAACACGGTGGTTCGGTGGTTAGCACTGTCACCTCACAGCAGGAAGGTTGCTGCTTTGAGTCCCAGCAGTGCCAGTAGGCATTTCTGTGTGGAGTTTGCATGTTCTCCTCATGTTCGCGTGAGTTTCCTTCAGGTGCTCTGGTTTCCCGCACAATTTAAAAACATGCACTATAGGTGAATTTGGTAAAGTTTATTAGTGTGTGTGTGAATGACTGTGTATGGGTGTTTTCCACTACTAGGTTGCGGCTGGAAGGACATCCTATGGAGACAGAAAAGACGCAAAAGACACAATGTACACATGCGTAGCCAAATTCATCTGCTGCGTAAAACATATGCTGGATTAGTAGTGGGTTTATTCCACTGAAGCGACACTTGATATATAAGGGACTAAGGCGAAGGAAAATGAATGAATGAATGAATGGTTTAGATTTGTTCTTCCACCTTGGATCTCATACATGGCACAATCAACAAATCCTTTAAAGATGCACCTTAATATTTTAGATTTTTATAATTTAATTGTTCAAGAATCACATGAAAAAGTATACTATAGTGTTTTACCACAGTATTGTCATTATACTGTATATATTAAGGTATTAGAAAACTTTGTTAATGAATGCTAAAGCATACTGTAGTTTTAACTAGAAAAGTGACAAACTTTTAAATACTGTAATACACTTTAGATGTTACTATAGTAAACAGTGGTTTATTGTAGTATTATATATAGTTAACATTAGTACACTATTTGGTAATTTGTTTATATTATTGAAGTTATTGTATTCCTACAGAAACTTTAGAATTACTACAACGGATTAATTCAGGTACTTTACCATAGTATGGTTCAAAAACGCAATAGTGTTATTTGGTGTTTACAATCAAATTACTAAAGTGCTTGGGCGAAAAATACTATTTGCAGCAAAAGTACACTCACTTTATTAGGTACACCTTACTTGTACCGGGTTGGACCCCATTTTGCCTTCAGAACTGCCTTAAATCTTCGTGCAAAAGATTCAACAAGGTACTGGAAATATTTCTCAGAGCAGTTGGTCCATATTGCCATGATAGCATCACACAGTTTATGCAAATTTGGCAGCTGCCCATCTATGATGCAAATCTTCCATTCCATCCAAAAAGGTGCTCTATTGGGTTGAGATCTGGTGACTGTGGAGGCCATTTGAGTACAGCAAATTCATTGTCATGTTCAAGAAACTAGTCTGAGATTATTTGCGTTTTATGACATGACGCGTTATCCTGCTTGAAGTAACCATCAGAAAATGGGTACACTATGGCATAAAAGGATGAACATTTGCTCCCACAGAACTGCCGCTTACTTAATGTTTTCTCTATTTTTTTTTTTTTTTTTTGGACCATTCTCTGTACACCCTAGAGATGGTTGTACGTGAAAATCCCAGTAGATCAGCAGTTTCTAAATACTCAGACCAGCCCATCTGGCACTAACAACCATGTCACATTCACAGTCGCTTAAATCACCTTTCTGCCCCATTCTGATGCGCGGTTTGAACTGCAGCAGATCATTTTGACCATGTCTACATGCCAAAATGCATTGAGTTGCTGCCATGTGATTGGCTGATTCGAAATTTGCCTTAACGAGCAGTTGAACAGTGTACCTGATAAAGTGGCCGGTCAGTGTATATGATAAATCCATTTATGCATGAGACTAAATCAGCAATAACTTTAAACAATGTATATAAGGAGTTCTTCTGCTTTTATGAGTATGTAATTTACCTTTAAAATAATATTTTGTTTTTGAGTCAAAGTATATTAAAAGTTTGTTTAGTTTTTTGTTTTGTTTTTCAGGTCAAATCACATCTAAAGCCTAAATTGTTTTCTAATGGCCGTACGAGAATAAATCTCCCCCTAAACATTTTTATGGTATCAACAGTTTACCAATTTGTTAGGGTAATCTAAACAAAATGAGCTCATTTCATTAACATCCCTAAATATGACATACATATGAGTGTAACTACTAGCATAAATATTGTAAATCATTTTCTACTGTAATTCCTTAAGTTTCTGAGATGTGCTTTTTTCAGTATGTACAAACCTCTTTTTTCTACTTCAACAGTGATTGTGACATCATGGCCTCAGGATCTCCAGATGTCACAGCCGCTAATGAACCATCAGAAGCCACAGAAGAGTGTTCAGGTAATTCCTAAATCCGTGTTTTAGCATCTGTAAGAACCACAAAAAAACATCCATCTCACTCTGCCATACATTTTTCACCAAATATAGATCACTCATGACACATTAGCTCACTATGAAGAGATATAAGATGGTAGTTCTCACTGACAGGAAGTCGTGTAGCACGCAGACAAAGCCAACATTTGTTTCTCCCATGCAAGCATGCTTTCCTCTGTCCGACATTTGACCTTTCTCTCCAGTTTAATGTGGGAAGAGGAAGCCTGGACTGCTAGTCAGATCCTGAAGCGCAGACAGCGGACTAGCGTGGGCATGTGGATTAGCCATTTCCTAGCAAAACAGGGTGCTTCCAGGGCGATGATAATCTGCTCTATCGGATTGTAGAGTCTCTGTAAGTCCATTAAATTAGAGACAGGTTAAGGTGTGTTTGCCAGGTGTTAATCTTCTATGTATTTATTTCAGGATGCTGATAATTAAACACCTTAATTACATTCATGACAGTTAGCTTCAGTGCTGGGTGCAGTTAGTTACTGTAATTACTGTAATTCAATTCAATTACTTTTCCACTGAACAAGTAATGTAAGCCGAGATTACTTTTCCTTTTTAGGCCATTCAATTACTGTTACTTATAGTCAGTGGTATGAAGTAACAAATTACAAATACTCAAACTACTGTAATTGAGTGTTTTTTCCCAGGAATTGTAATTTACTAAGTTTAAAAATGTGTGCTTTTACTTTCCCTTAAGTACATTTTAGTGCAGTATCTGTACTTTTACTTCACTACCTCAAGACATGGGACTTTATAATTGCAGCAAACTGTTTAGAAGTTTAGAAATCTTTACACGCATTGAACCAGAGACTGTTTAGAGGCATCTTTACTGTTTGATGACCGAAATGGCCTTAAAAACCCAGCAGGCATAAGACATCAACATGACGTCAGACTGCCGTTGTACCCCAACATCATGGGGATGTTGCATTTTGTTTGGAAATGAAAATCAGGTTGACGCCAGAGCCCAACGTCAGGCCGACTTCAATGTCCTACATCCAACCTAAAATCAACATCTAATGATGTCTTGACATTGTGGATGTTACCGCTATGACTTCTATCAGATGTTGGATTTTTGTTGCCATACCTGATTAATAAATGTCAGTATTTGATTTCAATATAACTTTGGTTTAAGATTTTGGCTCGATGTTGGATTTTGGTCACTTTCTATCAACCTAAAATCAACCAAATATCAATGTCATTTGACGTTGTTATTGGACATCAAAACAATGTTGTCCTTAGAGGCTGGCTAGACATTGAATTTTGGTTTACCTGACGTCATGACCTAAATCTAACCTAATATTAATGTCTTATGATGCTGTGTGCCTGCTGGACAATAACTAAATGCACTACAGAAGGTTACATTTACACACATCCACAAACTACATGTAAATACATCAGCTTTTTACAGTGTAGTACTCAATACTCACTACTCTTGAGTACTTTTGAAGTACCTACTTTTTACTCATACTTTGAGTAATATTTACAACAGATACTTTTACTCTACTCGCACTACATTTTTAGGCAAGTCATGGTACTTTTACTTGAGTATGATTTTCCAGTACTCTTTCCACCATTGCTTATAATGTACTTGCCCAAAATACAGTAAATAAAAGTTCAACACTTTTGTATAAATCAGTTCAGAGAAGCAGATTAATTATGTGTTTTTTGTTATACTAATTTAGGTAAATCTGTTTTTAGAAAAAGAAGGTTTGTTTTATGCAAACAATTGCACATGCTGAAGAAACATTGACTAATGAAATATTGACAGTATATGATATGTATGAAACATAGTGTCATATATGGAGTCAGATATTATTTTTATAAAGCTAAAATACCACGTTTTAATCAAATTTAAAGAATTAAGAGTTTCATTTCTGTTGTCTATGCATTGAGATTTATATGATTTTAAGTATTGAGTAAAGTAATTAAGAGTTTTTTGAGTAAGCAAGTTGCTTTTCAGACATAGTAATTAGAAAATTTTAATTGTGTAATTATTAATTATTTACTTTTTTTAAGTAAATTAACCAACAGTAGTTAGCTTACATCTGAATAAAAAAAATCTACAAAATAATAAAAAATTATGTCTACAAAAATCATTCAAAAAGCCTTCTTTATTGTTTGAGTAGTTTATTTTGGCTAATGCAACAAAAAATAGGCTAAATATGACTCAAATCTTTTGAAACCTTTAATAGGCTAATTTATTAATCCATTTATTATTTAATAGCTCGTCCTTTTAATATACTTTATTACTCATTTTTTATTTAGATTTTTATTAATCCAAAATACATGAATATTTTATACTGTGGTCTCAAAATCGCAAAAATGATAACCTCTTCTGATGTTTGTACTATTACTTAAGAAGCACATACTGTACATATCAGCCAATTATCAGTATCAACCAAAAAAAGTAGTTTGAAATCAGACCCTGATCATGACTTAATTTAGAATTCAATTAGTATTTCTATAAATTAAAACAGCATCAAAAAATCTTATTTTAATTTTTAGAATTCAGTCTTCATTCAATAAAATAATGTTAATTTGACTGCTGTGTTTTCTGTTTGTAACTGAGATTAAGACAAAATACCCATCAGATCATTTATTATAGCCTCCAGAATCTGCCCATTTTGGTGTCTTGAGTACAGTGTAGCTGTTTCTGTAGCCTATCGCTTTAAATGTACATAAGCTGGTTCTCCCCACCCACAGTTCCCACGTGCGTGTTTGCTTCATCATGCGTTAAAGTTAGATAAACAGCAGTCAGTGATTGAGACAGACTCGGATAAGGTTGAAATACAGCTCATTAGTCAAAAATGCCAGGTATATTTTATGTATTTGTGGTGGGATTTATTCCAGCCTTTCTGAAATGATGAGTCTTACACAAATTCCCTTTGCAGTACACACACACATATTAGCGTTTACTGATACCATGCGGCCGTGGTGATTATAACAGTTTAGAATTACATATCCATTTTACTCTCTTTACTACAAACATGTTCTGTTTGAAATTAATCAGGCTTATAAACATCACAGAGAGTTGGAACAGATATTTTAATCCCAGTTTCTTTGCAAAAAATGTTCTGTGGACATGTGTATACATATTATTATAGAAACATGACACCTGCCAATCAATTCGGTGGGCTGGGAAAATTACACTCCTACATTTTGTTGTGTTGGGCCTCAAAATCACTGGGATTTGGGTCATATTTTAACATCAGGAAATTAAAAAAAGAGACTTGTTGGGTCACTGCAATATGACAGTGGAGTCTACACACAGTCCTGTCCAAATAGCTTACAAAAGTTGATTTTCTTAATAGGTGCCCTTTAAAGAGTTTTATGATTGTTGATCCAAAGAGGGTAGATTTTTAACTGCTGACTCCAAATGGGTTAACCAAAAAAGCTCATTTAGATTACTGCACTTAGTAATAATAATATGTAAGCAACATTATTAAACCTTGATTTTTTTATTGCACTTTGCAATATGAGTTTTTTTTATTATTATTAAACACATACATTAAGTTTGTAAGATCATGTTCAGTAAGATCATGTAATTTCAATTTTCCAGCACTTGAAGGCTGTTTGCTCATTCCACAGTCACTCTTAGATCTTAGAACATAGAAAAACAATCACGTCTCTGCTATGAAGGAGAGACTTGAATGGAAAATATGAGTCATGGAAGTAAAAGGTTTGTATAGTTCATTTAAAAGATTCATTCTGAAATACGAAGAACAGATGTAGTTCAGATCCCGATGAAATTATTTGTAATGTATTAAGGTAATTGTCTATACTAATTAGATTTTTTATTTATGTAGTTATTTCACCAAACGTAAAAACTTTGATGTGATGTACTAGCACAAGCATTGTGTTGTAATGGTCATCCCTAAAATAAAATCAAGGCATAAACAATGCAAAGCTTTTTCCTGAGCCACTTTGCGTTTAATGTGGCCACATTTAAACAAACTGAGGCTCTGTTCTTAGAAGGCGATATTTAGCCTCCCATACTGTGTAATCAAATAACCGAGCATTGAGTGCTTTATAAGAGACAGTGAGATCTCTTTCTGTGTGTGTTGTTTACTGGCTTTAGACGGGCCGCAGCTGGAGACTGTAGGCTTTGCCAGTAGAGCAGCATCATGTGACTCTCCTCAAGTCGAAAGAAGACCAGTACACAAAGCCTTGAGTCATCATCCAGAGCCCTCAAAGACTATGTGGGGAGCAGTAAATTCAGGCTTCATATCATGTTTTATTATTTAAAAACTCTTTATAAGACTTCCTAGAAAAGCATTTTAAAATCAATAAAATATCCCAAAAAAAAAACAGTAAAACCATGTTCTATTTGTTGCTGACTTGTGTACTTATATTATCTTAAATGTTCTGAAGAGCGTTTGATTCCAGAGAAATAAGCAATTTCAACAAGTAGACCATGTCTTCATGCTAATGACCAGTGTTGTATTAGTTACTGAAAAATAGTAACTAGATACAGTCACTTCATTCAAGAGTAACTTTCTAAGAGCCAGTTATGCATAGCTCAATTGTGATAATAATTTAGTTAAAAGATGATGAAAATTGATAATGAAATATAATAAGAATTCATTGTAGTTGTATTATCTAAAATGCATAATTTAATAATTGATACAGTTTAAAAACATTTACTTTGGTATTTTGGCCTCCGACATGTAATACGTCATGAGGTTATTAGTTCATACGTTTAAGTCAGATTGCAGTTATGGATGTTTGAAGCGACACAGTTTTTTTGATTGCGCTATATTGAGTCTATTTTAAAAGAAGATTTGTTTTTACTCGCGTTTTTTCAAATACTGGTTGTTGGAATAGAAGCTGCAAAATGTGCTACATAAGGATGTGCATGAAAGGTGCGCCACTACAAACTCCTTTACTTTATCGATTACTTGCACCAAAAAGTATTGCATTACTGTTAAAAGTCATTTATGAGTTACTTTTCCAAAGAA